TTTCCTATTTTTGGCTATAATGATCTTTATTTTGATCAAAATGGTACAATTTTTGGTACTCCAAAAACTTATAGTAACATCAATATACCATTTTATGGTAAATTTGATGAATTGGAAGTTCTTCAACTAATTGATAATACTTGATAATTGTTGAAATAAATTTTTAAAAATGAATTAATAATAATTTTCTAATAAACTTAAAATATCTATTGCTTTTTAACATTCAACTTTTTTTAATTTTAATACTTAATGTGATGATGCTTTTAATAATGAGTTATCTGCATTGATTTTTAAATAGGGACCAGCAGGATAATTATGTTAATAAAACACATATAAAGGATTAAAACAACCCTTATTAAAAGTAAATTTCATTTCATTAGGTTCAATCATTCCTCATTTATACTATGAAAAGCAAATTGGGGAAGAAAGTCTAAACAAAATCAAAAGGTGTATATTATATAAATCTAAATAAATATTTTCATTACCAAGGTGCAGTGTTAAACAATGTACCATCCATATCAATTTTTAAAAAAAGTGCCATATAATGATACCCGAAAATGAAGATGAAGCAATTAAAAAACGAATAAAGTACAGTTCGCTCTCTATAACGGACCTTTCTATAATAATAACAGGCTGAGAATTTAAATGTCCTATATATAAATTATTATTTTCTATAACAAATTCTCTCTACAGTCCACTCTATAATGGATCCTTCTATAACAGATCTTGTTCTATAATGAACTGAGAATTTAAGCCTAATTTATATAATAATAAATTATTGTTGTTGTTGTCTATAACGGACATTTTTTCCTAAGCAAATGGTCCATTATAGAAAGAGTGAACTGTAAATAGGAAAAAAATTAATATAATAAATATTTTCTAGATTTTAAATTAACAAAATTTTAAAATTTAGAATGAATTACTTGGGCTCTTCGTAGTGAAAGTAAATGCACGCCTGAGCAAGTAAAACAACTTCTAAAAGCCTATTTTTTGACAGGAAAATGTAAATGAGAAGGATAGATTTACTGCTGAAACTATGCTTGCAGATCTAAAAAAGAGTAGAAGCAGGTGAGTTGGGTGCAAATGAGTTACCAAAAATAAAATTGGATAACATGTTTTAGTAGAGAACGTAAAAAAAAGAGGATTATTTTACTGTTACAAATGCACCCCGCCGATCACCAATTGAAATTCACTCTTCTTAAACGTATATATATTATTATTATTCATTTTATTATTCATTTTTGCCAAATATATATATTTTTTTTAATTACTAAAAGTTGAGAATTTTTTGATGGAATATTTAGAAGTAGAATTTTCTTCCATTATTTGTACAATATCATCATTAAAATTAACACCCATCACCAACAAAAATAAGATTCAATGTTTATGTAACTGCAAATCAATTTAAATTAAATAATTCAGTTATGTTAAAATATCTGCCTGTATATTCTACGCAAATCCCATTTTATACATATTTTATAGGCTTAGTTTTTATTGTTTTCCGGGTGTAGAATGAATGCAATAATAATAGGTAATAATAATAACTTGCCATGGGATCGTCATCTTCCTTATGTAGAATGAATGCAACAATAAATAACTTGCCATGGATTATCTTCTTCTTTATTCAATAATTATGAATGTTCCGAACATTATTATTTTTTTCTTTACAATGTTTTTTTACTGAAAAACGGGAAATATATTTTTTTAATTACCTTTTTCGGGAAATGCCACGATTGAAATTTCCAAATCGGGAATCACAGGACCTCTTGTTGCACTATATACAATATCAATATTTTAATTTCAAAACAATTCTTTTCCAAATTTGATGACAATGACACTTTGTGTAACACGCCCACGAAAAATTTT